CCCTTCCGAGTGCGGGTTCAAAAAGCGTTGAGGGCGCTGGATGTTCGCTTGTCAAGCTCAAGAGCGCCTGCTTGTTGCGTAGTGAGAGCGCATGCAGACCAGAGAAGTATCTTGGGAGGCCATGCAATGTAAACATTTTGCCATTCTAGTTGATCAAGTGTGCATATGTCCCAAGTTCAAAGGCCTCATTTTCGGGATTTTATTCGGAGCATGATTATTAAAACCCACCCAAAGACACCGGAAAGTACGGACAAAAACATCGACTGAAAGCATTAGGAAGTAGGGGTGTCGCGAACTTTTGTCGAACCGGATTTTTAGGTCGAACTTTCAGGATTCGACTGGGTCGAACCGGTCCGACGAACCTTCGAAACTTTTCATCAGAATCGACCACTGATCTCTATGACAATTGCTGGATCGCGTTTGCCCGCTCCGCGAATGCGGTCACTGGCGGCCATCTTTAGGTAGAGTTATATCACCTCTAGCCAATGTAAGCTGCTGCAGCCGCTATCATCCATCCATGGCAGATAGCGTTTTGGCGGGTGAGTTGGCAGGCTGCGGTCAAATTAGCGTGGGTGATATTGCGTGCTTGATTAAAATTATTTGACGAAACATGTTTTTGAACCCCGCCGTGAACAGTAGTCCGGTTTTTGAGGACCTGGTAAAAGTTTCACGAAATCGCAGCACCGGGAGAAAAGCAGCACAGCACGTATCGAAAGTCGCATCAAAAGAAGCATCGAAAGCAGACGCCGTTACGGAGTCTGCTTTCGATGCGAGCTGCGCTGCTTTCCCCCGGTGCTGCGCTTTCGTAGAACTTTTGCCGGGTCCTCAAAGATGAGGCTAGCGTTCACGCCGGGTTTCAAGAATCTGCTTCGTCGAACAACTTCAATCAAGCACGAAATGTCACCCACGGTACAGTGTACTAGATCTACGGCTATCTTTAGGGCAGCATGCCGCCATTGCGCTGTCCGCCATATTACTATGATGGCTAGAGATGATATAACTCTACCTAAAGATGGCCGCCAGTGACCGCATTCCGGTCCATAGGCGGAGCCACTGATCTCTATGACAATTGCTGGATCGCGCTTCCCCGCTTGTTCGCTGCAGCGCAAGTGAAGCCACCGGACTTCACTCGCTTGGGATACGATTTGCCGTTTTTGCTAGCCTTTGCTGCGGTTTTCCAGCGTGCTGTGGACACGTTTTCTACTCGTTCGTCGTCATTCGCCGAAGAAGTTTTTTGAAGATCTCCGTGTATTGTTGAGACTTGCCGTTGTGAACACGTGGAAAATTTTACGAAAGTGCAGTGTCGCAGGAAAAAGGCACAACGCGTCGAAAGGAAGGGCTGGCGGCGTGTTCAAAGCTTCCTTGGCACGCCGAAGTGCTATGTCTCTGTGCCTTCGCACGCTTGGATACCGACCAAGAACCGACGCCGTGTGTATGTGTCTAGCGAGTGCAATGTGCGTGAAGCTGTTCGTGCCTCTGGATCAGCGTCTTTTCCCCTCGCGGTTTAGGAACGAGCTTAATCCAGCGTCCACTAGCGACGGAATATGGGGGAAGGTACGTCTTTTTTTCGTCCTTAGACGATTTACACAATACCGTGCACAACAGCTCCTCATCACTGATCAGTGCTGGCTTATTATCAACCTACTTAATTGCACTTCACGTTTGAGCGCGGCTCGCCTAACTGTAATTGGTCAGCAGATTGCACACGACCATATCGGCCGCGCTTCAAAGATTTTCATTCTCGCCGTCTTGTACTTTTGCTTTCAAAAACCCCCCTGGCTCCACAACGTTGCCCTATTCGTGCTCCCACGGAATCTATTAGAGTAGATTTGGGACATAGCCATGGTTAATATAGTACATAAGAACACGTACAGATCTCTCCCTTTTATTGATAGCAACTCACCGGAACAGCTGGACGATCGAGAACTCCGTGGCCGATATATATAAATGATCTAAAGGCTTCTACGCGCGACACACGTTCAGAACTTTGGCGCGGCGTCAATTTTTGACCGGTATCCAAGCGTGCGAAGGCACAAAGATGCATCACTCGGCGTGCCAAGGAAGCTTTGATCACGCCGCGACACCGGCGACACTTGTTTTCGACGAGTTGTACCTTTTGATACGGCTTCACGCACATTGCACTCGCAAAACACATCCACACGGCGTCGATTCTTGGTCGGTATCCAAGCGTGCGAAGGCACAGAGACACGGCACTTCGGCGTGCCAAGGAAGCTTTGAACACGCCGCCAGCCCTTCCTTTCGACGCGTTGTGCCTTTTTCCTGCGACACTGCACTTTCGTAAAATTTTCCACGTGTTCACGACGGCAAGTCTCAACAATACACAGAGTCTTCAAAAAACTTCTTCGGCGAATGACGACGAACGAGTAGAAAACGTGTCCACAGCACGCTGGAAAACCGCAGCAAAGGCTAGCAAAAACGGGAAATCGTATCCCAAGCGAGTGAAGTCCGGTGGCTTCACTTGCGGGAGCGGCAAGCGCGATCCAGCAATTGTCATTGAGATCAGTGGGCGGAGCTGGTCAAACGCGATCCAGCAAATAGACATAGAGATCAGTGGAATCGACCGGTTCGACTTTGTGGACAGTGTAGCCAGACCTTGATACAAGCATGTCTAGGTTTGGAGAAATTGTTTTTATGCAAAGGGTTATTTTATTTTTTGGAACAGCTGCAATTAAAAGACACCAATTCTAATCCCTGGAGAAGTTAATAACTTAACTTTTTTTGTACTGTATTAACTGAAATAGCCAATCAGCGGTGCCCTTAATTCATGCCTTAGCCATCAACATCCAATCCGAAGCCAACTGGACAGCCTGTCGCGCATGCGCACACGAGTCGAACCTCAATACAAGGTTCGTCGAATTTCCACTAAAAGTTCGAAAAAGTCGAACCTGGTCGAACTCGAACCTTGGCCGGTTCGCGACACCCCTACTAGGAAGCCCAGCAGACGCCCGACTTCCGGGAAAAGCATCAAACTTCCGGTGGCTTCACTTGCGCCCTGCTCGGAGAGCGGCTATGCGCCTAGTGGACAGAACACACATGTTAGTAAACGTGAATGGTTAGTGCGCTTTTCAAATCCTACTCACTCCCGAAAACGTCAACCACCGCGCTCAGCGCATTAAAATTGCTCTGAATCCGTGAAGTTGGAGAAAATGAACATATGTCTTGCACGAAAAACGTGTTGTGGTGTCGACAGTTTACTCGAGGGACATGTATACATAGAAAGCGGAGAAACAAGCCTAGGGCAACGTTATCTACTATGCACAGTTTTATACAAAAATGCATAATCACAAAAACTCCGACGAGCCTCCAGTAATTGCAAGTTTAGTCGATCTAACATTAACTCGTAACAAAAAATAAATAAATAAATAAAATAAACACACGAGATACTTTTTTTTTTAAATTCTGGTTTTTCAAAATAAAACTTTCTGTATTGAGTAATCATTGTCAATTGTCCTCCAAAACTTACAACAAGCAGTTGTATAAATGTTTCTAAAAATTTGACAATTTTGTATTAAAGTCTGGTAACACTATTTAAACAGTTGAATTTCTTCGAATTTTACCGAAAGGTCGAAGGTTCGCCTAACAACCACTCGACCTTTCACTAGCTGTGTGCAGTGCAGTCGTGGGCAACGCCAGGCGAAAAGAGGAAAAGTTACAGGTTAAGAAAAGTTTTCGAGGGAAAGGAGGGCAGGGGAAGAGGAAGCAGACGGAATGCTAAAGAGAAGAGGAGGAAGCTTCCTCCTCTCTTTAGCATTCCGTCTGCTTCTTCCTCCCCAATCAGAATCTTTTTTTTTTTTTTTTCTTACGAGAAAGGAGGGCAACGGAAGGCGAGGGGAGAAATGGAGAGTACTAAGAGGCTTATTCCTCTTCTCCCCAGCCTTCCTAGTGCTTGCCCTTCCTCCCCTTGCCTAACGTTGCCTTCGCCTGTATTGCGCGCAGTATAGGCAAAGTCAATGCAGTACAGGAAAGGCAATGCCTAGATTGTTTCTAACTGCCCGGCCGGGGTTACGAAGTTTATGGCCGGCGTTTACAGTACAAGCTGCGAGAAGCAGTCAAAAGTAGGGGTGTCTGCGAACTTTTGTCGAAGCGGATTTTTAGGTCGAACTTTCGGGGTTCGACTGGTTCGAACCGGTTCAACGAACCTTCAAACTTTTAATTAACCCAAGGAGCCAGCCTGTCCCGCATGAGCATGGCAGTCGAACCTGTGTCGAACCTTTGTTGGACTTTTCACAAGAAGTCAGAAAAAGTCGAACCTGGTCGAACTCGAACCTCGACCGGTTCGCGACATCCCTAGTCAAAAGCGTTGATCGTCTCCGCCCACACCAGCTCCCTGTCCGCTTTCCACCTCACACCGTAGCGCAAATTATTTTCACAAGGCAGAGCAGAGTACTGGAAGGATAGAGAAATGGCACGTAAATTCAGGAAAAGGATAAATGAAAACTTCAGTTGAGTTTGGACAACAGGTAGCGCAAGTCACCGCCTGATTTAAAAAGAGTGCTTTTTTACCTATTCTATTCATTCCTTCATTCCCAAATTGCTCAAATTAGTACGCGGTAACCACACCATTTAGACATGTAAACTAATCAGAAACGCGTTTCAACTTCTCAACACAATTTATAAATTCGGACACATGACAAGAAACAATAAATAGTAGGATTTTCTCCAATTATTGGTGAAATATCTTACTAGTCTGGCAACGCAAAACCAAAAGTGCAATAGCCTAAATATAGGTAGCGCAAGCTACCGCCCGCTACAAAGGGTATAGTTAGTAATATTTATTTATTCATCTAACGTAATCTGATGTTCCGAAAATAAATTAAAATAACTTTCGAATTTTTATTTGTTCAGCAGCGCGAGCAAAAATATTTCTAAAAACCTGGTTAATAGTGTAATAACATAAAAATGTAATAAGCATTTATGACAGAAGATGGCACCCGCTACCTCCCGACAAAACAAGGACGAAACAAAAGTTTGTCCATTCATTTATATTTTTACCTATTTATGAATTTGTGATCCGGAAAAGCTGGAATGGCGGATTTGCTCGTCCGCTATCGAGAGCTCGTGAAAGCGAACCCTTCACTGGCCAGCGAACTCGAAACCGTTCTCCGGTGGATATCCTATTTCTCAGCAGGTTTGGGAACGCATTTAGATCGTCCATTTGATTTCTGATTGATACTGAACGGGTGCTTCCGCCGAGCGAATGATACGGGTAAACAAATCGCTTCCTGTCGTGAAGACGTCAAACTTTCCTTTTTTTACGGACTATCATCGCTATCCGCGCGAATGTCTTCCTCTCGCAATGACATTCAGTTGATTTGTCGTAGCCTGACAACACGCGTCTGTTACCGCGTCGGGGCTTCCAAGGGAGATGGTTTGAAGTTCAACTTGATTTAATACACAGGGCGCTTCGGGAAATCAGCTGTTGTCGCCGAGCTACTCTACTCCGCATCGAGCCTGCTGACACTCGCCAACGACCTCATCCTAAGACATGCCGCCAACGTCCCAGTACACCTGGTAAACCCCTCGATCTCGGTGTTGTAGCACTTTTCGGCCAACACTTCCTCCAACGCCCGCTTCGCAGGACCGCGCCGTGGAGAAACTCCAGTCATGCCTGGCAGTCGTGGAATACTTGGAGGTCTTCATGGAGCTCGCTGCCCTTCACCTCCGCGGCGACACCGCGCGCTGGGTTGCTGTGGGGCTCGTGCAGATCATCAAGTACTGCTCTTTCGTATGCGCGAGTGGTCGTTCAAATCGAACAGTGCTGTCAACATTAAGTGTTGCGTCGTCCTCTCCACGGTGTGCTTGCATGCGCGTGAACGTAGCTCTGGCAGGCGTGCACATGCTTGTCAACACGAGCAGACCCAGATACCCCACAGTGGCAAGAAGTGCAAGCTATCGACGCCTGTGCGCTCTCACGCCTTCAGCGTCTATCAAGGTACAGTTCTGATAGATGCTGAAGGTGTGAGCGCAGCTTTGATAGACGCTTGTTCTGCAGCAGGTTACTCCTAATAGACGCTTTCAAAACGCCATGGTATAAAGGGCTTCTGGCTCGATTCTGGCCTGTGCCATTTATGGCGTTTGTATACACATTGTGCATGCATTGTTCACTTTTCAAAGAGACGAACATGCTAAGCTGTGAAGGTTGCATGGTAAGCTGTGATCGTAAAACTAGCGACGACGCTGCAGCAACCGACACAAATCCCAGTTTACGGAAGCTTTTTTTTAAAGGAGGGCTGCTGTGAAATCGGCTTAAGGACGCTCAGATATTGCTGCCGTTTGTGACTTGCCGTACCAAGATAGACTGGATGGTTCTAAACAACGCAGCACTATTTCACTCGGCCGCTTTCCACTTTCGACTTTGGATTTCTCAGACGCGTTTCCGTTTGTCCAGGGCTGGCCTCAGGCTCGTGCTCTTGTTGCGTCACGGTCAGGGACTGCAGTGTTCGCCTGCGGTAGCACCCCTCGACCGGAGAAGGCAGCTGCAGCCTGCTCAGGGAACTTCCGGCGGGCCCTCTACTCCCGCTGCCGAGCCGAGCTATTCACTAAGGCACAGCGGTCGCATCGTTAGGACCCTCGCCGGAGGTAAGGCACCTAAAACGGCCCGTCAGGCGACGGACTGAGCCGGCGGTTCCACTACAGCGCCGCCAGCATCGAGGAGGCAGTGGAAGCCTCCCGGCGCCCAGACGGAAGTTCTTGAACGGACTTCGCCAACGCCACTGCAAGGACCGGAACTGGCAGCCGAGCTGGCACACGTGCTGCGACCCGTGGCGCACCGTATCCTTTCATTGCACCGCCATCATGCTGTTTCGAACGTGTCTCCAACTGGCGTGTTTATCGGATCCTCAAATGTGGTCCCTCGATTTCGAACTGATGACATTGTGAACGAGTCATGGCATGTAATCCTGGCGGTGGCAGAGTGGTGGATGTGGATGCAGCAGACGCTTGTTCTGCTGCGGGTTACTCTGAAGCTCGACAGTCCACGGAAGCTTCGGCAGTCAGGAGTTGGGACGTCGGTGTGATGGCAACCGTCGCATTCACTCACTTTTGTTTTTTGCCAGAACATCGGTGACAAACTACCAGGGCCGCAACATTTGACGGCATAACATGCCAGCCCCTCATCACTTCTTGCTCAGATTCATGCTTCCATCTAATGCAGATGAGCTTCGACGGGCAGGTATCGAGGCTGAGGTACGCTGGATAGCGTCTGCCCATATCGACGTTGGTAAAAGAGGTTCTCAGAGAAATCAAGCTAGGTAGCGGCATGAAAATCAGACCGGTAGTTATTCCATATATTAACAATCTATCTTCTGGTTTAAAAAAAATAGCAAACAGCAAATGTGAGTATATTTTTCTCAGCATCACACAAACTTCACATCCTCTGCAAAAAACACTTCTTCAATCAACACAGTCAGCTGCACAAAGAAGCACAGATCCAACTTTGTCAACTGCATTGAAGGGGTGGTCTTTTAATTTTCTCTTTCCTGTGGAAAAGAGTACATTAAACAGACTGGACGATGTTTAAATGACCGCCTGCATGAGCACGACAGCAACATTGCCAACGCCAACTCTTATCATTTCGGCGTTCACTGGGGGGTTGTGGCTTTTCTGCACGATTGGACAACTGTGCTTTGTTAGGCAAGAGTAAGAACCAGCTCACCCGAGAAATTATGGAAGCGGAGAACATTGTATGACGCGACGCCCGGTGCGTTAGCACTCCGTCCTTAACCTTATCGGAAAAAGAACTTGATTATTTAGACAAAAGGTGCATTTGACAGTAGGCCTGTCCGTGTCACACGTTTCTTTTTTTTCGTCCTGTTTGTTCGTGCCTTTTAACCTTTTAATCGATATGAACCAACTAGCCCCAACCAAAGCTTTATTGTATCCCCTGGTTTCTTGTTGTATTTCTGAGATTATTTTTGTTATTAATTTTTTGAAGATTTTGTAACTCCTGGACTATAACTAGGGTTCCACATTTTCGGTTTTTATTTTTTCGAAATTCGGCATACTTTTTTCGGTGTTTATTTTAAGATTCAAGTTTCGATTTTTTTCTGTGTATATTTTTGCCCACGAAAGTTTACCTTTTTTTTTTTTTTTTTTTTCGGTGAATATGAAAAAAAACACCATCAGACACTGGATCAAGTGATCCTTGAAACTCTGATATTTGTGATCTCTGAAAAAAATAATGGCACAAATACATCGAAAAAAAAACAAAAAACATTGACACTTTATTTCACAAAAATCTGCAACTGTAAAAAAAAGAAAAAGCACAAACAAGTTAGTGCCCAAAAAACATGGAACTTCACCTTCTGTACATCAGGATTACGTGATCTTGTATATAGTAAACACATATGTACAGGGTGTCACAAAAGAAAATTTACACAGTCTTTTTTACCGCAAAAATAAACTAGGCATCCCCGAACGCTCATTCTCTGCCCAAAGGTAGAGCTAGAGGTCACAACCAGATGCTAAAGTTTCAGCCCGATCCGATAACTTAATCAAAAGTTATAAATGATTCTCTCAAAATTTCAATGGGAAAATGGCGGCCGACGGAGTTTTCGAATACATGGGGCTCTATGGCAGCAGAAACCGAAAACGGGCAAAAATGGGCTCCATTTTGCCATTGAAATTTTCAGAAAATCACTTATAACTTTTGATTAAGTTATCGGATCGGGATGAAACTTTGGCATCTGGTTGTGACCTCTAGCTCTACCTTTGGGCGCAGAATGAGCGTTCGGCGATGCCTAGTCTATTTTTGCGGTAACAAAGACCATGTAAATTTTCTTTTGTGACACCCTGTAGTTTCTTAGGTTCTCCTGGTTGATCCACGTTCATTCTTTCCTGTTAATGACCCTGGGCTCCGAGAATGCCCTCTCAACGTTAACACTGGACACTGGTGGGCTAAGGAGGTAAAGCGCTGCCCGATACAAAATCGGGCAGTCAACCAAATGTCACTACTAAAGGAGACACGGTGCGACGTTTTGAAGCACGATATATTTCTAGTCCTCACTAAACTCTGGCTGCAGATCTTGCATGAAGCGAAAACCTTATACTAGCCCATACCCAAACGTTTTTTTTTTAGGACCACGAACTTAACACACTAAGCCTGATCACAGAAAGGACACAGATGTCCCGCAAAGGACAACCCAAGACTTCTTTTGTATTGCATGTTGAACCTTGGAAGAGGGCAGTCACGAAGAGGTCACACAATGTCGAACCTTGCAACGCCCCCTCTCCCCTCCCCCCTCTCCCCCCGCCCATCTCGACACGACCCTAAAAAACTGACCATTTTCGGTTCAAACAGAATTTTAGAGAATGTATTCAGCTTTCTTTTATCGGTCTAGACCGAAAATGCCAAATTTAAAAACTGGCCTTTTTCGGTTAAAACAGAATTTTCGAAAATGGATTTGGCATACTTTTATCGGTTTTTACCAGTTTAAACCGAAAACTCTGAACCCTAACTATAACCAAGAGTGTATTCGACAGTAGGCCAGCATGTGGCCTGGTCTACTATATTTTTGTGAATATTTTTTTAATTATTTTTGTAATTTTTGGACTTTGTAGTGTTATTATTATCTTTTTTTTCTTTTTGCTTCGCCTTCTATTTTCCTTTTCCTGTACTTCTCTCCTTTTCTTTGTCTTTTACCTTTGCTCCCTTTCCCTTGTGGCACACGTTAAAGACCCCAGGCTAGTGGTTCTACTGCACTGGCTAAATTACCCATCTACAGCTGAGACATCAGACGCTCACTGAGGCAGATTAACTTCCGGCTGTGTAAACATACACACAACAATTTGCTTTGCTTTCCCTCGTCTTTCACATTTCCTTTCTCTTGGTTGCTGGGCTGGCATACTTTTCCATGGGGTCGAAGGAGAGGAAGTTTGACTAAGTGCAGATTATGAGTTGATAATTCAGCACTGTGCGAGTGTATTTCTTTCGAGCGTTTGGATTTTTGAGCGACTGTCAACCTGTGTGCCGGTTCGTAATTATGACTCGTTGCCACTTCGGGATGCACGAGCAGTATAGGACGCTGAACTTGCCAGTCGGACGCATTTCGGGCACCACACTGCCACGTGCTAGAGTTGTTCTAGACTATAGAGCTCGAGCGGTGAACTGCACGCATTTCACGTGCACATCTTGACGCACGGACAAATACAACGTTTCACAGCCCGTCATTCGCTCTAGAACAGTGTAAAATGGCCGTTGTGAAGCTAAACGTCTGGTGACCCTCATTTGATGCTGCCTCCGACGGTGACCGCACACTTGCACGCTAAAAAGTGTATGGAAACGACCCCTATTAACTGGACATCTCGCCTGTCCGTACGAAAAGATGTGCACGTGCTCTGTGCGAACGGGCCTGAAGCCAAAAGACGCAGTGTTTGCTGCAGACACGACAACAGAATTATCTGCTCACATGCCTCGAGCATTTTCGCTTCATGCACACGTCTGCTGCAAACATGTCTGCAGACAGTTGTTGTACGACCATTGTGGCATTGTGTCCTACGAGGAAGAAGCATGCCTCGGACGGTGTCTTTAGACCGTCTTTTGTGCGATGTACTAGCAGCGAGACCACGGCTTGTATGTGTAGCAGTCGAAAGGAGGTGCTCCGACGGCGTTTCCCCTGACCACTGCCGCAGTGTCGGCCCTCGGCATCTTTGGCCGCGCTTCTTGGGGCCCTTGGGCCCTGGCGGCAGCCTTGGACTTGGCGAGGTGAGCGGGGCCGGCCTTTTCGTTGCAACGTGGTGCCAAAGCAGAGGCCTCTGCAGCCTGCAGGTGCTGGCCAGGGCACGGCCGTCCCTGCAACCCCGCGAGCGGGTGGAGCTGAGCCGCCGGTTCCTCCACCTCGTGCTCTACCTCGTGAGGTCGCCGTTCTACAAGCGCGTCACCGAGCGTCCGCTGTTGAGCCTGCTTCGGGGCGCCGGGGAGAGCGTTCCTTTCTTGGGCCTGGTCACTCGTGAGCCACGTTTCCTTTCTAGACCACTTTTCACCTCGAGACAAGAATCACAGGGTGGTGCATTGCCTCCTCACAAACTTCCGATTAAAATGGGGGAAAGGTGGTCTCCCCTTTTGTAATGACTGGTTCACACTTGAGTGTTTGAGTGTGACAGAGCATTGTGTTTGTTTAAAATGATAACCAGCTGGCGCCATCCGTAAGGCAGCTCTGGATGTGTTTAAATAGACTTAAGCTTTTGCAGTATTTCTGATATCAAATCTATACACTATGAGAAATGACCACTTACAACATAGTCAACAGTATTTTAAGCCCATAGTGAAAAATTGGGGAACAAACGCGGATCAAGTGTTTCAAGCCTGCCTGATCGACAGTACCAGTGTGGTCTCGTCGTAAACTGCCACAAGGGATCGCAACGCACTTCCATCACCAGTTCTGGCATCAAGGATCAGTTAGCGGGAGATTTCTAGACTCCCATAGCACGACCAACCACCGCCATATGTCGAATAGCACAGCAGAAGGACCCGTTTCGAAGGATCGGCGCCATAAATAGCATGTCCAGCCAAGCCCGCCAGCTGTAGTAGGATAATACTGAATCCTGCAATTGCTATACAAGGGCAGAGGGTGACACTGCACTTTCTAGCCAATGATGACCAGGACGAAGAGATTTCCCCCTGGTACCAGTCGAGCGTGTATGGGGAAACTGGCCAAGTCAGCGGCATGCACATGCATAGATGTGTTGTAAACTGGGCCAGTTGGTATTGATCCTTAAAAAATGCAGAGTGCACAAAAAATGGGAGACATAAGACACGTATGACAGCCAAGCACTCAATGTCTGCAACAAAACTTTCGCAGTCTTTTTTTTTTTTTTTGCTCTGCCTTGCATTGCACAAGTCTTTTTGGAAATAGTAGTCCATTGAAAAACAGCTGTTTCTTCAAGTACCTCTTCTCCCTTTGCAGGGCCGTTGGCAGAGTACTTGCCAGAATGGCAGGATACGTACTGCCACAACTGGAGCTCCTAACCATTCCAATCAAGATCCACAATCTGCATTTCCTCGCCGACTTTGAGGTGCAAAGTTCTGTGGGTCGTTGTCCACCCAGTGAAGCTCAAGGTTGGCGTTTACCTCCCAGTTTTAGATATCCAGGTGAAGGCCATCATACCGTTTACACTGGGCATGAAAATGTTTTGTTACAAAAAATAAAATGATAAAAAGCACGTTCAATTTTGGCACTGGATGCCATAAATCTAGCCTGTGTGTATGTACCATTTTCCACAAACTAACATACTTCTTTTGTTTTGTACGGAGCAGGTGCGAAAACAGCGGTAAACTGTGGCCATTAATATTTTCGTAATGCTTTGTGTAAAACGTTCAGTGTCGCAGTCGAGTTGCGCAAGTGGCAAACTACACAATTGAACAAATTTTGAGGCAATTTTATATGTGAATATTGCAGTTTCCGCCAAAAATGTTGCAGGGCGGCTTACTGCCTTCCACTTCCTAACCAAATTGCTCTATCAACAAAGAAGCCACGCCCTGCACATCTCCATACACAGCTCGCTCTATTAACTGTGCCGGAATTTAGTACTTTCAGCATAATCTCTAAAGACGATCAGACTTAAGGAAACATTCTACTAGAGTGACAATTGCATACCTTCTCATATGTAGAGTATATCAGATTCCTAAAACCAGATAAAAAAAAAAATGGTTAATCTGGCCTCATTCTGGAATTGCAGTGATGTCATCAGTCAGGGTCATTTTGGAGCAGCAAAAAATTTTTGGAGCATGAGCACATTTTATTTTCATTCATGTCACCACAAATGTTATGTTAAAATTAATGTGTCGGCCTGTCCAACTAATAGGCGATGTCTACTTTGTATTCTCACTTACGTGCAACCCTTTGTTACCATCAATTGCATAGTAGGAGCAATTCCCTCAATTGCAGAACTAGTGTTTCGTTCCGTGGAGAAACACCGGACACGGTAACAATAAGATGACCAATGAAGGACAGCACAAACTGCTGTGAATGGTTATTTTAGATGAATGAATCCCACTAAAATAATATTAGAATACAATAATTTCTAGCACCTAAGTGAATGATTTTTTCAAGTTCTAGGGGTTGTTATAAACTGCAATTTATAATTCACATAAAGCACTTGTCATTTGTAGAACTTCATAACAAAAATGTGTATGAATAACCAATGTGCCTTCTTGAAACCAATCCCACCAAACTCTATCTTCTTCCCAAGCTTCCATCCATTGCTTCTGTCAATTAAGTTCCAATTTATAAGACCCATATAAAAGTGATAACTAAACAAAGAAGTTTGCGTAAAAAGAAACCTACAGAAGAGTGCATATAAATATTCCTGCAATACCGAAGCATCCTTGCTAAATTTCGAGTTGGAAAAAAGTAACCGCCAGTATATCGCAGTATATCATACAAGCCGAAGTTGTATTCAGAAATTGTATCGCGTCTCGCTCCAAAGAACGGGGGTAGAGGCATGGTTCAGCCTTTTGTAGCAGGTCTGGGTGGAGCAAAGATGCCCCTTTGGAGCAGCTTTAAAGCAGTAAAAGTTCTGCTTTGGAGCAGCTCGGGAGCCATAAAAGTCAAGTTTCGTAACAGTACGAGTAAATCTTGGAGCTGGTCACATAGGTATAACTTGAGGCGCAGATGTTTTTTTTTTTTAATAGAAAAATATTACAAGGGAAAAACATATCCATGCGACGTCCTAGAACCATTTCTGAACATACCTTTAATCCAGCCCGTAGCATAAAAAGCAAACAGCGCAATTGCAATTTATCTGAATGGCAGCTATTGAAAACTCCCTGCAGTGAGGTGGATCCTTTAATGGATTTTCAGTAGAAGTCAACAAAAGAAGCATAACTTATGCCTCGTAAAAACAAAACGTGCCTATCTATCAAGAGTTCTACAAGTTGAAAACCATTTCAAGATGTGATAGTATGGTACAATAAAGCCCAATATTGCTGACTAGCTTTTATTATTAGGAAATACAAATGTTCCAAATACCTGTTTAGCAAACATAAATGTATTCCAATACTTAGGTTTTAACAGAGTACAAATCTACCCTATCTGATGAAAGTACAAATGCAAAATACTGAAAATTTCACGATATCACATAACAAGCAGAACTGTATAGAATAAAAACTTGTTCGAGTTTGATAAAAGGAAAAGTGAGACAAAACTAGCAAGTACGACCATAGAACAGCAGGTTTTCTTAAAGTCAATTTATTTAATGCATTCTAGCACAACGGTTTAGAGCTTGCATCGCCTCAGCAGTACATTCCCACACTTCTCACTGCCCTCCCGCCAGCTTGCTGTTTATGTGGCAGCGCCAGCCTTGGGCAGTAGCTAGTTATTAGTAATGCATTACCGGTAACTAGTTACTTTTTTCAGTAACTCGTTACTGCTCAGTGAAAAGAAGTTGTAACTGCAATAGGGTTACTAATTTTCGAAAGTAACTAAAAGGTAACATCGTTAGTTACTTCTCAGATTCATGTGCAGAAATATTGCAAACACGACCACCAAATCGTCTCGCAACTCGTGAGAGAGTCCAAAGTCCTGGTACGGGAAGGGCACAGCAAAAACTGCTGCAGAAAACGTCTGGAACAGGAGGGGGAAAAAAAATAAAAATATAAAGGAGCAAAATTTTGGGTGAACCTGCTTTGCCAAACTTTTCCTGCCAACTGGGAGGATGGAGACGTTTGTGTCCGTATCAGCCATGTATGGTACATCGCCCACAGCGCACGCAGGTGTAACAAAGCGCGGCATCTCTGAAGCATTTTTCTTTTCTTCGTCCGGCAAAGGGAGCGAGTGCTTTTTGCAGAAAAGTTTTTGGCAATTGTTGCCCCAAATGCCCGCAATTTGTGTTTTCCTGGTCATCTTGCCACCAAGCAAGTTTCCTTCCCCTCCATTTTGAATCGTCCAGCTCCCAGATGCACCCTTGCAGGGTCTCGACCTCGGGCCCCTTTTCTCTCCCTTTTTTAACAACCAAATTACTGGCCTTGCCTCCTGTCACCCACTTCTTGTCCCTTCTCGGGTTGTCACTTGAGAAAGAGTATTCGCTTGAAACGTCTGTGTCATTCAACTTGTTTGTGCACTTTTTTTTAATTGAAAGATTGCTTTTAATTGAGACTAGGTCACTTGGCGTCAGTTGATTCAGAGATATTCACTTAGTGGGCTTTCCGGGTGGTGTGGCCTCTTCTATTTCGGGTAGTGAGATACAGCAGCACAAGCATGTTCAATCTGGTTAGGAAGTGGCGGAGAAAAGATTGCAACAGCCATTTAGAATTTCAGTGCTCCTTTGCATCGCTGCAGTGTTCAACGGGTTTTATGGACGAATATTGCCGCAACATTGCTCTCCATGATTTCAAGAGAAGCTCTGCGTTTAATGAAAGAATGTGCGCACGCAGCAGAAAACGATTTGACCGATGTAATACGCAGCCCCAAAAGCAAGAGAGCAATGCTAGGACTGGAGTCTAGCTAGCAGCCCTTCCAACGCCACCCCTCTTTTGCCCAGAGTCAGATGGTTGCCAACCAGCAAAACTGGCTTCACCCAGTCGCATGGGAGTGTGTGGGAGACCGCCACTTATTTGAAACGCAAGACTTGAACCATAAAAGTACTTGTTCTTGGGCTAGCTGGTGATGACGGTTGTGAACTTAGGTTAAGAGCGCGAAAAGACGAACACGAGAGAAGACAAACACGAGTGCTTGAACCAACTCGCGCGGTGTTGTCCCCTGTGCTGCTGGCAGACACAGCTAGTCTTTCTTGTTAGACGAAAATAGGCACATGGCGCCCATTTTCATCAAACAAGAACAACCTGCTTTGACGTTGACAGAACCATATCAATAACCTAAAAAAAGAAAAAAAAAAAATTCTCTACTAGTTTCGGCACACCATTTGCACCTGAAGCAGGATGGCACAGCGAAAGCGGATTGGCACACAATGGCGCAGCACTTCCACCCCTGGGAGAAGTGCTTTTCTGTTAGCACACACGTGCACTGCAGCGAAGCGACACACCCAAAATCGCGATGCCTGCTCTATGGTTGTCGCTTCTCTGCAGTACACCGGTGCACAGTGAGAAGTGCACTTAACAAAACTAACCCTCCAGAACAGACCACGAACATGAAAATTACGAAAGTAATCCCTGGAGAAGGGGAACAAGGGAGGAAAAGGGCAAACACAAATCTCCAACAAAATTGGAGATTTGTTTGTCCTCCTTCTCCAAAGATTATTTCTGCCATTCTTTCCAGCTCGCTTGCACCTTTGCATTAATCACGTTTCAACACGAGTATTGCAAAACCTTCAGAGTACCGTCAGTCTTCGATACGAAAAGCAATCGAAAAGTATGTTACTTGAGGCAATAAGCGAGAGTTCTGAAAACTGGCTGAAGTATATCGCCAACGATCCGGCCCGGTAGCAAGGCCAGAGTTACATGTTCAGTATTATTAAAGTGAAACAAGTTTTGGCACTATCTTGACCCAAATTCCTCACATTTTGGTAAAATGTAGCAGGGTAAGCATTTTGGCACAGCAATCCCTTCAACAGGATTGGCATATCTGCATCCCCATCCATTTACTAACCACTTCACTGGAGTTAATACCTACAGAACCAGACTGAGGATACTCAAAAGGTTAGTAAAAACCAGTAGTCATGTCCTGCCAAGTGCAAATGTTGTCCAGCTTCACTTGCAACATCTCACCATTACATTTTCCCCAAACTGAAATGCAGGCAGCAAAATGCATGCCACTACCTTGCTCCACGATGCAAAGTAGAACTGCAAGTCTATGCAAAACTGTCGACGATCAAAGCTCCAAACAAGCTCCCCGACAATATGACTGCCTCTCAAAAACATGCAGCAAAATGCAGAGCGAATCATGTGTTCTCTGCAATATCAAACTTACAAGAGGCACGAACTGCTAATTCCATCTGTTCACGTTCACCTTAACCAAGTGGTATGAAGTCCCTTATACTACTACTGGATGGGCACTTATGCACGGAAACCCCTTTCAAAAACCATGTGCTTACACCAGTGCTGAACAGTGTTGCACGCCACTTATGAAACAAGCTACAGCAACTCCCATTTACATGATCCTGGCATAAAAACAATCTGGGATCAAGAGCTTAAGGTAGAGTACCTGAGGCCACTGAATTTCTACAGGCTCGCCCGGTGCAGCCTTCATTCTGCACTGCAGTGTACAACAGTAGACTATTGGCTCCTAATGCAATTCAACGGCGATAAAAGACCAATCATTTTGTGCTGGCCATGCGGGGTTTCTTTGCACCCCCCACAGGAGGGGACAAGTTCTACTAATGGCATCGGATAGCACTTGCCGTGGTTGAAACCAGCAAGCCACAGAACTGCCACTACCATGAAGTACACACAACCTCTGCGGCAATGTCAATCGATGAAATTGTGCCAGTTGTGCACATCCAACGATCCCGATGTCAATCAATGGCAGTGGCGAGTTTCGACATTTTGAGCATAAAGTGCACGCACTTGGCTACTGCAGAGTGCACTCTGCATATGAACTCCAAGCTCGCATATTGCAACCAAACTCCGAGACGAGCTTTCCCCCAACAAATGTGAGCATGTTGTGGGTCTTTGTTGCAGCCAAGTCCCGCAACATAGCCGGACGTTGCTGCCGGTCCACAACTATCACTCAACAGAGAGTTCCACCTCGCTGCTACTTAAACTAAACTTCGTCGCACCACACCGTCAGGTTCAATCCCAAACCAGTTTGAAACTGTGCGGCACAATGCTCCAACACGCGCATAAGTGTGTTGAGATGCGCGATGTCTGATAACCTTGCGTAGCTCTGGCTCTACTTCGTTCTAGGGCTAGATTAGGTACGACAGCCAATGAAAAACCGGCCCTGGCTTGCGCCAGCACCGGAGAAAGCAGGCTACGAGGTGGCTACACTGAACACTTTATTATTGCTGTCCCTCCCGGGCGTTCCTGGCACGCGTCTGCGGCACTGCAACGTGGGACAGCGTCCCTCCCTCGGCGGCACCCAGCGAGACCTCAACGGGACTGGCTGCGGCTGTTGCCCCGGCGGCCTCGGCTGGTGCTGCGCCGGTCGCCGTTCTCACCGCTGTCTCTCCTGGAACGGTGCTGACGTTTGGAAGTGGGTCAACCTACCACGCCGATTGTGCGTCGTCGGAGGGGGGCTACCGAAAGAGCAGACGCCGTGCCGACGCTACGTGCAGTCTTCTTACAAGCATGCAATATTTGCAAAGACGCATCACATGTCAAGATTAAAGAATTCTCAATGTTCTCAAGAAACAAGTTCGGGTCCAACAATGAGTGTCGTGCAGACTTCTTCTGGGGACCAGAAAGCACAAATCCAGCCATGTCTTACCCGTTTCACTCTCTGCAATTATGATGGCAAACTTAGCAAACCGTTGGCGAGTCGTAAAGACAAAAAGTCGTTGAATCACGCACAATTGGAAGCACCATTGTTCGAGGTTTAACAATTTACATTGACACAATTAAATTGAAACATTCTCCAAGTGTAGAGGCTGGATTCCATGGAGAAAATGTGCAATGAACAAACTTTGCTCAAGGCATTTACTCACGGCACAACCACCATTTTGACGGCACACAGAGCGAACGCCGCCGGGCGAGGATCATTGCACTTTTCACAGCATGGAGTTCAGTCCTTATGGATCACATCAGTTCACACATACATCACTTAATCAATGAAAGAAACAGTCGCAATGCAGAGCCGACTTAAATGCAACTTAGCACCAATGCAGCGCCACATCAGCTCGAGACCACTATCACAGCGTGAAGTTAACGCTGCGTTGGCAAGGTTAGCACTGTTCCCAGCATCGACTAATAGCACTAAGCGAGTACTGTACCAACAACAGATGACTGGGTAGAAGGGCCGCTCTTAGTTGTGGCGTAAAAATGGCGCTGGGGGGGGGTCTTGACATGTGCAAACGGGACATACCCTGCTGTCCCTGGGGGAGGGACTGCGGCTCCAGCTGCGCCTGCGGCTGGAAGACCTGCAAGAGAGGGTGTGCACCAAAGGCCCCTGAGGGTCTGGCCAGCAGGGCGAGGGACTCGCACTCACACACTGCCTACCTGGACCGGGAGCGAGAGTGCCTGCTGCGCCGGTACGAGCGCTGCGGAGTGCGGCTGCGACTGCGGCTACGGCTGCGGCTGCGCCTGCGGTCGGAACGGCATTGCCGTAAGCAAGAGCATTAAACATCCGAGCGTTCGTCGTTCCACTTTTCGATTTAAATCGGCAACTTCGGGAGCTGTTTCAAGTGGCAGCAGCCAATCGGGGACGAAATATTTTCACGTGACGCCCCTGAGGCGGCGACGATGACAACTAAAGATTTGTTCTGGTGTGAAATGGATCTCTTTTGGGGATAAACCTTTTCAGAAAGATAAGTTAGTATTGTCAACGACATCTAAAGATAGTAACTTGTCCTTTTTTTTCTCAATAAAACTTGTCCTTTTTTTCTCAATAAAACAAAAAAAAAAAAAAATAATACGGGACAATGGCTGCCGCCTTGGCGGTGCCGGCTACTTTTCGCTTTCCATTACGTCGTCCCACACCAATACAGTTTTCTCACGGCTGGCACGTGCGGCGGAAGGTGGCGCCCTGCCGGTCAGATGGCCCCTGTGCTTTGCTTCTCCACGAGAATGCAGAAATGTGCGGCCCCGAGGCCTTTTGCTCAGCACTTCCTCATCACCCGGGCAGCGGCAGACTCACCCTCCGCGATGGCACAACCTCCCAAAGCGTCTGTCAGTCTCTGCACGGTCGTGCAAAAGAGCAACCTTCTTTACCTCGACGGGTAGTAAGGGCGTTCCCTGCTGTCGCCCTCGGGGCAGTCCCTGGCCCAGTGACCCGTGCGGCGGCAGCGATAGCACTCATCAAAGCTCTGCAAAGAAGCGATGCCGCAAGCGGCCTCAACCATCTTGGGGGTCATGCAGCCAAACAAGTCCCGGCTACCCGACCGCATTCACCACGAACACTAGCAGGTTCAGATTTTAGAGGGCCTTTCAATCTCCCTTAAGCCTCGCTCGAGCCTCCTACGTTTGCCAGTGCTCTCGCTTTGTGCGAGCATTGAGCGTGGACAAACGGTAAAGAAGCAACGAAGGGCAGCAAGGTGACTGAAAAGCTCCCCCGACGCTGCAATACTGTCAACGACCTCGTCAGAAGAGAGAAAAATTTATAAGTGGCAGAACACATCAGAAAGAAACATCAGCCTTACAAGTCATAGACTGAGATTATCCATCGTCTCTTTAAGAATGTGAGGACAACCCAGTCAAACCGCTTCGTACACCCACACCGGCCTCCGATGTCCCTCACACATTGAACTTTGCAGCCCAAGTGCTTTACGGGCACCCTCTGAACGAACACCGATGAAAGTAAAAACCAGGCTGCTCATAAAATGCCCTTTAATGCGGAACTATGCAACATACACCAGGGCGAGATTCGCTCAACCAGGTAATAAATACCCAAAAGCCCTCACAATGAACAAGATAACGATTCCTGGAAAGCGTCCTTGATTGGTACGTTTACTGCCCGTTTTTGTCTATATGGGTTTCTTTCTGATTAAGTCGCAACTGTACAATGCCATGACACCGACAGGCCAGCGGAGACAGGAATCGCCGGATGCCTGTTGTTCTTCCGCTCGCTTTGCAGCCAACCGAAACCCAATTGCCACGAGTTGGAATGCTGAAACTACGGTGCCTGCGTCAGCTCATCCTGTTTGCCGGCGCTTCAATGAAATGCCACGACTGCAACAGCCCGTACCATTACACACTGGCTGATGTGACACGAGTCATTTGATAGACTCGGCCGAGGTAACGCCAACTTTAATCACTCGTATGCGTTTCTCACGCAGCACTCGTCTCCAATCTCTGCCCGGATAAAGGACAGCACAAACTGTTGTGAATGGTTACCTCAGGTAATGAATCCCACTGAACTACTAAAATAAAACAATTTCGAGCACCAAAATAACAATCCCTTAGAGTTCTAGAGGTTGTAATAAACTGTGATTTGTAAATAATGTAAAAAACAAAGCACTCGTCGATTGATTATGAACGTCAATAACATTTACGTAGAACTTCATAACAAAATGACGCACGTGAAAGACCAATTCAAGACCTCTTAAAAACAATCCCGCTGAACTCGTTAACATTATTTCCGAGCTTCCGTCCACTTCTGCTGTCAAGTTAGTTATAATTAATAACACCTATATAAAAGTGACAACTAAACGAAAGAGTTGTCACAAAAATAAAGAGACCATATGATTCTTCTTGCAATGCCGAAGTATCCTCGCTAAATAATGAACTAGAAAGAGGTACCGCCAGGATATCGCAGTCTATCATACAAGTCGAGCCTCGCTTCGGAGAAGTGCTTTCCCGTTAGCATGCGAGTGCACTGCACCAAAGCAAGACACGCAAAATCACGATGCCTCTTCCGTGGTCGTCGCTTCTCTGCAGTACAACCGTACGTAGTGGAAGTGCACTTAACAACTAATCAACCCTTCAGTACAGACCACAAAAAAATGAGTATTGCAAAACTTCAAGTACTGCCAGTTTTCGATACGAAATGATAGTGCATTATTTGAGGCGATAATCGAATTCTGAAAACTCGCATAAGTATATCGTAACAATCTGGCCGGGTACCGATCTATTATATGTTCAGCAGTATTAAAGGGCAACTCCGCTTCATTTTTGATCCTGAAAAAACAATGCAATCTTCTTCAGTATTACCTAGGAAGACTACACATTAAATGTTTTAACCTAGTTCCGTCTAAACGTTTCTGAAACGGCCTGGCAAACTTTGCAACGCATCAAGTTGCCGAAATCGGCCGACTCGAACGGGCGAATTGAGGCGCAACCAACAACGCAGTTAAGCGCGAAACACATGTACGACGAAACCTTCCGATCCGACGTGCGGACTGACCTTGGGGGGCGAGGGTTTTCGTAGCATCGGAGAGCGTTGAAAACCCTTGCCTCCGACCGTTGTATTGCGTGGTCAGACGTCGGATCGGACGGTTTCGTCGTACATCTGTTTCACGCTTTAAGGCTAAAATGTTGCCGTAGCCAACATTGAGCTAAACTTAATCTCCATCGCCCCCTTTTTGTTTTTACTTCTCTGGGCAAGCGTAACGGGCGACGTCAGCAATGTTTTCGTTCGGTGCTCAGCGGTGTCCACATGATTGGTGTCTTGGGAGCCGTCCGGCCATTCCACCGTTACTGCAGTCTCCCGCGTCATAACCGCAGTCATCGTCTTTATGTTTCAGATTATTCTCTCGGAGATTCTTTCCCACTACGTGCGCACACTGATGCCGCAGTTGTGCAGACGTCGTCGAATGTCGTAGACACCAAAACATGAAGTGCGCTGCAAACAACACTTGCGCCTGGCACTCGCCCGCCCCAATCCCGCCCGTCATTGAATAGTCGATCACTTGGCATCTCGTACCATGTATAGCCATGTTTCTTGTCGCACGAGGCCAATGTTGCCGGACAGAGCCGAAATTTCGGTTTCGATTTCTCTCATGTTTGAACTGAGCTTGAACAATATATATCCTTTCGTGTAGCAAATGCCGTAGTGCCTCGTATTAGGGATTTCTTTATGGGAAATCACTCATTATCCTGAAACTTTCGGAATTGATCGGAACTGCCCTTTAAAGTGAAATTAAGTGTTGGCGCAAATTCCTCACATTTTTGGTCAACTGCAGCAGGACGTAACACGGTAAGCACTTTGGTGCAAATGTCACACCACTAGAAGGAGACGGTCCCACTTACGCTCACTTTGGCTGCGGGAGGCCGGAAGGAAGGGCCCCGGGCCCACTCCACCACCACACTCTGGCCGCGGATCTCGCGGCCGTTCTCATACTTGACGGCGTCCTGTGAGAACGGAGGGGCGGAGTCAGCCAAGCTCCGCCCCGCGGGTGCCCGGGGCATCCCCCGCCGCTGCCCGTCGGCTGTGGCAACCCCCTCGCGACAGAAGAGGCGCTCAGAGTCTCGGCCGAGGCAACGCTGCTCTCACAGGCCTCTCGCGGTTCAAAACACTCAACTGTCGGAGCGTCTCAGTACGTTTCCGCAGCCAGCATCACAACCGGGGTCTGGTGTAACGAAAACAGTGCGTAACCCGTAACTAGAACTCCCTTATTGATTACTCTAATGACTGCTTCATGGATACAGCGCGTCTGCTGTACACACTGTCATTTGAAGGATGTAAGGGGAAACACTGCCCCCAGAGCTTTTATTTAATTTTTTAGACAAGTTTTGATTCCATTTAAATGAAATTTACGTTGCTTACCTGCCTTTAAAATCTGACTCCAAGTATGTACCTGGTTTTGACTGTGCCTCATTAGTTTTACTAATGTTGAAAGTTTCATTTGCAAAGATTGTGGGAACGACTAAGACAAATTGAAATACTGAAATCGGGGAAAAAAAAAATACATCTCATCAAACTGATACGCCTGTGGAATCCAATAACTTGTGAAGTGAAAGCTCTATACTTGTTTTCACCTCAAGAACCATAGTAAAAAAAACAAGTAGGACTTCTCGCAGAACGTTACTAATTTCCCTCTTTATGCTGAGAATTAAGCTAAAAGTAGGTGCATTTTGGATTAGATATATGTTACCTTATCAAGACGTACAAAATTCAAAAGCCGAAAGCATCGCTTCTGCCTCCGACAACCAAATTTTGTCCGAACTATTTCGTACAGCGCATGAACATTGAGCAAAACTTTTTCCAGAGGTGAAAACAGATATAGGATGATATGGAAGCGTTTCATTACATTTTTATTTTATAGATTTTGGATTTTTTTATGCAGAATGTATAAAAGGAATCTAAAAAAAAAATTCCATTTTTGAGTCAATACTTGAAGATACCAGAGACTTGTTTCACGGAATTACTTCAGGACAAGATGACAAGTGCCCATCAAAAAACCTCTCCAAAAACGTGTTTATTTTTAGTATCTTTTGCCTCAAAGAGCAGTGCCTCCCCTTAACCGAAGCCAACCTCTGCAACGTGGGAAGCCCTTCAAAGTGAGTTGCATTATGATCTCTCACAACGCAAGAAATGCATGACAGGCTCCTACCACAAAGCCCTCCACTCTTTGCACTTGTGCACAGCAAACACTGGAGAGGACGCAAGTGGAGAGATCACCAGAGCCTTGTTGGAAGGGGTTTGTCTCACGCTCCTTAACCTGCTTTGATAGACAAGCTCGTCCAAATAAGCTTACCCATCAAGTAGTTCCACATGCCAGTGAAAAAATATGACGCAAACAGCCGGAGAGACTGTCTACGCAGAATGCAGGCAAATGACGGCCTCAACTAAGTCGCTTCCTGCCGAGACTCCGAGACGTCAGCTTCGGGCGGAGGGGAAGCCCCCTGGGGGCCGAGTCTCCGTGCCAACGGCTGCCCCGTGGAAGGAAGGGGTGCAGGCGCGGCGGGCAGCTTGAGCAAGGGATGCCCGTGCGAGACTTGGTGGCAGCCAAGTGCCGGACAACGTACGCAGCCTGTCGTTGCCAGTCGCTGACAGGGGGTCGGACAGAACAGGCAGGCTCCGGCACACTAGCAATGGTTTGCAACGCATCTCGCAAAGCGGTCTCGCAACGGGGGGGGTCTCTCTCTTTGCCGGCGTCTCTCGGCACGGGAGTCCCGTCGCCGCAGCCTCCGCTTCACGGGCAAAAGGAAACGGGGCTTCGGTAGTGTCTCCCGGGAGGGTCGGCCCTCCTCCCCGTGCCACACAGCGGTAGTCTGGCCACTGTGGAAGGAGCCCACCGCTTGAGCCACAAACACCCGCCAAGGCCCCGGCCCGTCCCCTCCCGGCACCCCAACCCGGGTCGTACGCTAAAGCCTCCGGCGTACGACGCAACTCCCCCAACTGGCTCTCTGAAACCGCACCAACGGCAGACGTTTCACGGACAAGTCATTTGGTCGACGCTTTGATGGCTCGTTCGGCCAGAAACCGAGAACTGTGCGTTTAAAATGTGAAATCACGGCTATCAAAGACCAATTACGCAAGATGAGAGTGAAGGAAGGTGCTTTGCATACTGCCAAATCAGTGTGCACCGTCTTTCAAGCGACCAATCAATGTGTCCGTCAACTCGTCCGGGAAACGTCGGCTCCAAGATTAGAGCTGCAAGCCCTTCCCGAGACACAGTTAATTCATTACCAGTTGCACAAATCATAAATCCTGAAGGACAAAACATTTATGAAAAAGCGCCGAAATTGTCTTGTATCTTATCGTTATACAAATATGGGAATCTATCAACCATCATCACCAAGGACACGTTTCTACGTCAACATGATTGTCTATAGAAGCCTTTCTTAACATAGGCCTCAGCAGGCCTGCCCAGGTCTTCCAAAGCAAACAATGTAAAGACTGGAGGTAACGAGACATTGCTCAGAGACAATAGAGGGGGGGAAACCCTTTTACCTCTGCATCACGATGGTCTTCGTAGTCCACAAAAGCATAGGCCATTCCCGTGCCTGAAAAAGGCAGACATAGAACTTTTTGGACAACGAAATGAGGCAGAATTGCAAAAACGTGTTTTTGCAATTTTGCTGGGTGAATGTACAAAACTCAACTTTTTTTTTCTTTTTTTTCATTTTTCTTATTAGTGATTATAGGCAGTCAATTTATGAGGTGCATCCACTGGAAATGGACTTCTATTACAGCAACACACAGAATGTGGTGGGAATGAGCCTTCACTACATTTGTCTCTTACCGTCAAAGCTTGTCTTCGACAGACCGCAAGTAGCCACGACTTGTGCCAATACCCACATACCTGGTGTCCCAAATAGCGCCCAGGCTCTTTAGATTGACCGCAAAATTTGGTTTCTTAGCCTATCGCGCTACGATTTTTGTACAGTGTTGCCCACAGATGGTGCATTTTTTCTATAGAATTTGCAAAGAGCAAATTTACCTGAGGAAAAATTTAAAAAAAGAAAAAGGCTTAAATTCTATGGAAATGCAGCGAAGCCACCAGTCTTCAAACAATAGGGAGCCCTGTTGTTTGAAGACCCACTGCTTTTCCGTAGGAGTTAAACCTTTTTCTTTTTTTACTTTTTCCTCAGGAAAGTTTGCTCTTTGCAAATCTTACAAAAAAAAATGCACCATTTGTGGGCAACGCTGCACAGAATCGTAGCACGATAGGTTAAGAAACCGAATTTTGTGGTCATTTGAAAGAGCCTGGCCGCTATTTGAGACACCCAATATGATGGCTCCAGTTTGCCTGAAGGCAAGTTTGCCCTCAGTTATAAATTCATACTGGTAATTGTTTTTATAAGGGGGCTTCCCCAATGGCCATAGCCTGGTGTGAGGCTGCTCAGCAAGTGCTGGCGGCACTTCCAATGTTCTATTTCACACCATCAAGCCCGCCAGTCCCGGCAGCCTTCGAGTGGAAGCTCGTCCTCAGCATGCCCATTACTCGAATATGAGGTCGCCAAAAAACCCTATAACGTGGGCAACCAAATGCCCATATGCAATATTCCTGGTTATTCCTCTTTTATCGTGTGCGGTAATCACTGGTGCCAAATTCGAGTGTGATGTTCACAGCGCACGCTCAGAACAAGCCTCCATTGTCTTTTAAGAACTACAATCTTGGCGTGGAAGTGAATTGTTAGCTCGCGCTCAGCAGCAAATGAGACAAATATGGCCGTCAGCGAATTCTACCCATGTTCTTGTGCTTTCGGGAATTTAAAAACGAACCACAAGGTAGAATAAAAACAAAAATCATAAGCATGCAGAAAATGGAAGATGAAGCTTCTTTCACGGGTCCGTGTTTCGTATTTATACCTCACTTCGGCTAAGAGATCCGCTACGTGTGCTCTTCGCGTTTGACCACACGGTTAAGCTCATTCTCTGAAAATGCTTAACACGACTACAGCTCAACTACACGTCCCGGCTTTGCCTAGACGTTCTGCAACCCCGCTCCTGAGCACGCGACTCAACCTAAACCATTATTCGTTGAATAGGTAAGCGCACTATAGTCTTAATTGAGAACGGGCTGTCGAAAATACAATACGGTCCTCTTCCTCCTTCTCGAGAAGGGAGGAAACTTAAGCAATTTGTATACCACCCGCAGCCACCAACTGCGCGCCGAATGCTGATGTCAAGGCTGCGGAGGCCAAACATCGAACACCGCTTCAACAAACAACGCATTAGGCCTAGCAACGTTCTTCCTCCCGCCGCGTCTCCGGGAGTTGAGACGCTGCGAAGAACGGCGTCAATACCGTGCTTACCATATTTGACGTCGCAGCGCAGTAATCTGCCGTATCGTTCGAACACTTGCTCCACATCTCTTTCTCTGCATTCAAGAGGGAGACGGCCTATGAACAGTTGCCCACGCCCCGACATTGTTATTCTCTGCAGCGTCTGTCTCGAGTAGTCCGCCACGCGACGATTACAAGCACAAGAGCACAAGCTAAAAAACAAAATCGACAGCAACGACGCAACGACAGTGGATGGATGGATCGATGAATGCAGCTGAGCCCTTTGGATCGGGCGGTAGCTTATGCCACCTAGTCTGTAGCAGCGGTAGTGGCACCAGCAGCAGTGGCACCAACCTAAGGAGGTTAGAAGTACTAGGAGGGGGCACGTTGCAGCATTGGTGAAGCCTAGTCATAAAAAGTTTAAGGCCGGCGTTGGGTCGACCCGGTCGACCCGGTCGACGCAACGCTAAACTATGGTGTACTAGAAGACTGGGCAGTGTAGCGAGCGCCGGCGGAGGGCGGGCTCTTTCAGCGATGACCGGATCGGTGGCCGCGAGAGGGCGCAACGTGTAGTAGGCGTGCTGTCGGAGTGCGGAGCGCAGGCGGCGGTAGCGCTTGGCTGGCTTGGCGTTCTGCACGGGTTCGATTGCTTCGTATTGTTTGGCTAACTCTTTACGGTATTCTTTAGTTCTGCTGTTTCACATATTATTTATCGCACTAATTCGTTGCCAAATGCTTTGCCCGAGACGTGCATCTTCGGGCAGGACACCACAGTACACATCGCGACACCGACATTTACTTCGAAAGAGTATTAGCGAGGACGAACTTTTATCACCTGCATTATAGACCCGAATGAGCTTTTTCCCCAGCAATTAGAACTTTGCTGAGATCCTTTGATTTCTCATAGAAAAACCATCGATCGCTTGTTCGCGCTAGCAATGTTGCGTTATGAATAGCTGCGGGAAATCCATCCCCCAGGGCAACGTTCGGGAAGTCTCTTGAAAGAGACGTCCCAAACGTGTCTAATCCTCTGGGTAACATAGGATAAGCATGCTGATGGCATGATACTTAAACAAATGTGTGCTTTTGTGACCCTATAATTTCGCTGTCACTGTAGTTATGATCAATAAAATCCGTGGTTGAAGCAAAATGGGTCTTACAAAACGGACTATATCGTCTACTTCTGTAGGCTGCGTGGAGATGCCACCGTCGACTCTCGCAACTACTTCCACGGGCTTTCGAAGGAATTTCCAGCACTAGCCTTTATCGTATTTGCTGTTACTACGTAGGGTCTTCAAACAGGACTGTGCGAATAGTTAGAAAAATGTATCCACTCACCAGCTCTGGTAGTAACCACAGTGGATAAATTCTTATTTATCCACTGAGCACCAGCTATATTAATGTGTGTGGGCACCAGGGCACACAGATAAAATTTTAATCATGCACTGGGCGCCAGCGCACAGATGAGATTACACCCATGGATTCCGGAGGCGATGGTACTTGCTTTTCCCAAGAGCTCGGGAGAGGGGGGCTCCCGAGCTCCCCCGTAGTCGGCGCCTATGGCGTTTTGTACCTCTACATTCTCCAACATGAGGTCATGATCTTGATGAGCTTCGACATCTTCAGGATAAAGGACTCAGTATCTTCCGCTGGGCCATAAGACCCTTCAATTTTCTTGCGGTAAAAAAAGAGGCCTCTTAGCACCTCCTCATTGAAGAGACGGAGTGCTGGGCCAACCCTCATCTTTTTAAAACCGTTAGGAGAGAGAGAGAGAGGAAAAAAAATAATTTGCTGATGTGAGGCTATAACCTTTAACGTCACATTTTCACAGTCACTTCTCCAAGCCTTTCTAATGCAGTCAGCGTGCACAGAACCCTTCGGTGTATCCAAACCAGTGTCTATAAAACCGATTTAGCAAATGGCCACTTTAAAGTGCAAGAAGTCCGAAAAAAAAAAAATGTAGAGGACGACTGTCATGACTGCCTGCATTACCTGAAGCAGAGCAGGGCCGTACCCAGAAAAAAATTTCGGGGGGGGGGTTTCGGGGACAACGGCGGCCATTTTGTCTTATTTTCGCCTATGAATCATGTGCATCGGTGGCATATAATGGAGAGTTATAGCAAACCGAAGAACTGGTCCCGGTTTGGTACCCGGTAGCCGACCGGTGCCGCTGCGCGTGCGCAGAGGTGGAGATTAAAATCGGCTGGCTGCAAGTGCACCGACCAGGGCCGTACCCAGAAAAAAATTTCGGGGGGGGTCAGAACCCCCTATCCCCCCCCCCCCCCCCCCCTGCATGGTTACGGCCCTGAAGCAGAGTCTCCCTGTCACTCCTTTTAATGTTGCGGGACGACGACTGACGCCGATCGAAATCGAGAGGGGCACGAAAAAGGGAACGGGCTTCTTTGCAGGACCGGTAGCCACTGTTGCAACCCGACACGGGCCCCAGGAATTGAGGTTAGGGAGGGGGGGGGGGGGGGGGGGGGGGTTCGGGGGGCATTGAGAATATAAGAGTCGTTGCGAATTAAAGGGGCGCTTTCGGAAAAACAAGGGGGGAGTGCACCCCCGTAGAGGGGTGTAGGGAAATCACTGCCCCGACACAAAACACGTCCCGTCTCTCTTATCCCGCCGTTTTTCCGTCATTGCACGCGTTGTCTACATCCCACTGAACGGCACCGATCACAATCCATTTCACTCAAGCATTAAAAAAAAAAAAAACTGCAGTAAAACAAGGCGACGACGCGAACCACGCGATCACAGGCAGTACGACCACGCGGCAATCCGAGCGGGAAGGAGCACGCCTGTTACCCGCAGCGCCCCCTGGCGTCCTTGCGCTCCGTCATCGCTGCGCCGACCTCCTCCCTCCGTTGCTTCTCGGCGCGGACGACACACTGCCCAGTTCTAGTACACCATAGCTAAACGTTGCGTTGACCCAAAACGTCATATCCGGTTTTTTACAACGCATCGGTCGCAAAGCTTTTACATACTATATTGCTAATAAACTATTTTAATGTCAATATGTTATTAACTCATTACAAACCCATTAGTTTTTCAACAAAACGATATTGTTACTCTGATGTCATATCCGGCTTTAGATTAATTTAAAATACAAATGGGTCGCTTGTGTTATATACTTGCACTTGTTTGAAATTTGTTTTAATTATTATCTATTAAGTTAGTAAGGCAAACCCATGCCATCAATGACCAGGACCAAAAATCGCTGCCACCTCGCGCTCCGGTTCAAGAGTACGCACACATGTTTACAAATGGCGGCGCTATGGCAAGTCAGCTGTCGGGACTATTCGGTTATTTAGAGAATTTCATGTAGTTCTTAACAAATTAATGTATCAGTCAGCCCATGTATGCATCTTGATAATATAGCCAAGCCTGCATAACCTTCGCGATCCTAACTATCGCTGCTCACCAGAGCAGCATTGACCCCAGCGCGTCCTCCCCGCTCGCCGAAAACCGCTGAGCCACAAGCATGCAAGATCACGCTGGACGCTCACGCGATGCCAGAAAATCACTGAAGGTGGAAGCCTCGCCGGCCTCGCGCCGAAAGCAATGTGTTCCCCATGCCTGCGAGCGAGCTGAGAAACACAAGTACGAGAATATTGTCTTGAGCAGCGTTTACACTGCACGAGAGCGCTTGCACACCAGGCCACCTCGGAGTGTAGAGCTTTTCGTTGCTTTGGCCTCTCCCTCCGTCGTCCTTGCATATGCATATGGGTTACGATAACAGTGTCTTGCCTAAGCGTACCAGTGGTACGATCTCGGGAAGAACAGACCACTTTACCGAAGCCCAGCTACACGAGCATCCCAGCGGTTTCTGGGAAGAAGAGGCAGGGGGACATTCCCCTGCCTCCTCATCCCAGAAATATATATGCACTACATTAATAAGAGTGAATACAGGGTTACTTCTCTTGCGTTCCCCTTGTCCTCTTTTTTTTTTTTTTTCTTTCTTCTTCTTTTGTGTGTTGTTTTTTAATGGGAGAATGTGAAAGTGTAAAATTCTTGGCATTGATTTTCCGAAGCAAATGTAGATGTGATGGATGCCTCGGGAAGAACTAAGGATTAATTTGAACCACTTCACTTCGGTTTTCTTTTCACATGCACGAAAAACCTCTATTACACAGTAAGTAAAGCTACTGGTAGATTAAGCTGCACATTTTGCCTCTTTAGTTACCTATCTATGATGCTGGCCTTGAAGGTGAACTTATGTAAGCATTGACAATATTTTCATCTGTGTTGTACCCTGGAACCCAGCATGCTTACACTGAGCTTACAAAAAAAAAAATGGGAGGGCAGCTTTTATACTGTTAGCAACAACTGTAATCAGCCTTACTGAGAGCAACATGGTTGTTTATTTCTTCATTCTGTATTACCCTGTCAAGGTATTACAGTTGGAAAAGTAAAAGTTTGAAGAAAAAAAAACAAAGAAAATTCTTTTACCTGCACCAGAAAACTTAAAATGCAAATTTGCAGGAATAATTTATTCGAGGCACCAAACATGATAACCACTGGGGGACCAGTCAGGCAATACGCATGCACGACCAAATGTCTGACTGGTCCTACGACATACCAGAAAGATTGTCGAACCTCATCAGGTGCCACCCACTCGCTGCATCGTGTGTATTCACGCATAGGCGTAGACTACGGGGGGTCATCGGGGCTCGGTCCCCCCTAATGAGATCCGGGGGGCTCCATCCCTCCCCGGCCCGGGCCATGATCCTTACCGAGACGCTGTTTCTAGTAGTGGCATGTAAACAAAATAATGCCCACGTTGCCTTTATTGACAAAATGCATCAAACATAGAATCCCTGCGTGCTTCTGGGGGGGGGGGGGGGGGGGGTGTGCTTTTCCACTTGAGCGGAAAACACCTCCCCCCCCCCCAAGAAGATGGAAAGTTTACGCCGCTGCATTCATGTGAGTCTGTGATTGTTGGTGTCTGATCGGGTTCAGCAGTCTTTTTGGCATGTCAAACAACCAGTCGGATGTTGAGTCGTGTATGGCCTGCCCGGGTCCCCAGTGTTTACCACATAAAATGTGGCATTTCGCAGTCATTAATACGCGGGAAGCAGCTGTCCAAGCGTAAATGTAAAACTCAAAAAATAAAAAAAGAAGTCATTGTTTTTTTGTTGTTTTTTTTTTAGTAAAGGACTCTGACAACCGATATGACTGCAATATACAAAAGTGGACCAATGACGAGAAAAAAACTTTCAGCCTCTCCACTGTGGTGAAGAAGGAAAACCAGCAGAGCTGAACAATGAAAAGTAACGGCTGGCCGCAAGTCAGCAAGCCAAAGTGGAAAGGCTGCCGCCTCCCATGAACGATGGCGGCAACCAGATAAGTG